CATTACTAATTTTGAGTCTTTGTGCTTGTGCTGCTGAGCTTGTGTACAACTATCTCCTTTTACTTAAAGGCTAGACAGTAAATATTTTAAGCCTGTGGACATACGGTGTCTGTCACAGTTACTCAACTGTAGCTCAAAAGCAGCATAGACAGTATGTAAACAAATTAATATGGCTATGTTCCAATAAAACTTTAAGTACAAAACAGACAGTTGGCATGTAGTTTGCCAACTCCTTTTCTTGCCAGCAAGAGCCATTGGTGATTTTTGTTTAATTTTTCTTTTAAAATAAGAGTTTTTGTGTTTACTTATCCATTTCACAAATTTTAAACCATCAGATTCTATTTTAACTTTATTAGGGTATATACTTTGTTTTTCTTTGGTTTTGTTATACTTTCATTATGGGGTAGCCAGGTGATGGGTATTAAGGAGGGCAGGTGTTCTGATGAGCGCTGGGTGTTATACACAACTAATGAAGCGTTGAACACTACATCAAAAACTAATGATGCACTCTGTGTTGGCTAATAGCATAATAAAAATAAATAACGAAAAAACAAAACAACTCGAGTTAGATGTTAATTTACTTATTTATATTCTTATTTAGTGAAATATTTCAGGTATGATATTTTCTGAGAGCATACATTTACTCTGTCCTGTAAGTTTGATGTGTGATGTTTCTATTAGTTTTTAGACTTATGCAATTTTAGTTATTTTTCCTTTGTTGTTTAAGGAAGTCAAGATAAGAAAGATGCATATATAAAGTTGCAGGTATGTGTTAGTTTAGAGTTATTAATTATTTTATTCAGGTGTTTTACACGTGGTTCAACTTACTGTCATATCTCTCTTGGAATGCTGTGCTAGAGTAATAAACCTAACTGGTCTCCCCTGTCTCTCTCCTGCTCAGAAACCTGCAGTGGTTTTCTACTTTATTCAAAATAAAAGCCAAAATCTTTATAATGGGTGTCCTCAAACTCATGTCCCAAACTGAATTTTCTTTCCACCTCCTAAGGCACAAGCATTGGCTGTCCCGATCCTATTTTCCCTGTCACATATTTAGTGCATCAAGGCATGCATGGATAAACTAGAAACAGCCCTAACTCTTTCTTCCCTTCCTCCCTCCCCTCCCAGGCAGTCACCCAGGCTTCCTTATGGTATAGCCTACTCTCACCTTGAATTTATGTGGTCTCTCTGTTTCCTGCCTCCATTTTCTCACTGGGACTGTTGATCGCCCCATAGCTGGTCATCCAGCCTCCGGTCTTAGCACAGCTGTGAAGATACCTCTCTAAACAACAAATCTGATACTGCTTAAGAACTTTCCTTGGCTCCTTTCCACCTGTGCTTGGGACCATCTAAGGCCTGACCTAATCCTCCTTTCCAGCCCCTAATCCTCCTTTCCAGCATCATTTTCTTGCATTCACCCAATACCTTCTAAACATAATGCCCAGACACACTGTATTCTTTGCTAGTTCCAGCCTTTATGCTTGTTTATCCTGCTGCCTACTGTCCCCCACTTAACAGTATATCACTTGTCTTTCAAGACCCACATTTCACATTTGCTGTAAAGACTTCTTTGATGAGACTAGCAGATCATTGATTTATTCATTCCAGAAATGGGCAGTAAGTACTAGCTATGCAGAAAGTACTATGGTCCTTAAACTCTTGTGTACATCAGAATAACTTGAGGAGCTGATTAGAAATGTATATGTAAGAACATGAAAACATGTTTCACATCATTAGTCATTAGGAAAATGCAGATTAAAACCACATGGGATACCACTACATACCTCTTACAATGACTAAAATAAAAAATCTTGACAGTCTCAAGTGTAGAGAAGCATGGGAGGTAACTGGAATTCTGATATATTGGTGATGAAAATGCATATGGTACAGCCACTCTGAAAATGGTCTTGCAGTTTTAATAAAGTTAAAAATGTATTTACCATATGACCCAGCAATCACATTCCTGGTATCTACTTTAGAGAAATTAAAATATATTCTCTTACACACACACACACACACACACAAACACAAACACAGAGAGAGAGAGAGAAAGAAACTTCACATGGATATCCATAGAGGCTTGAGTCATAATTGCCCAAAGTGGAAACAACTCAGACATCCTTCAGTGGGTGTTTCGATTAACAAAATATCCATCCATACCATAGAATTCTACTCAGCAGTAAAAAGGAATGAACTATCAGTACAACTTGGATGACTCTCAAAGGCATCAAACTGATAAAAGAAACTAGCCTCAAAGGCTTATATACTGTTTTATTCAATTCCTATCACATTCTTGAAGTCATGAAACTATAAGGATGGAGAACAGATCATTGATTGCCAGGGGTTGTGGGTGGGGACGGTTTAACTCTAAAGGAATAACACAGGGAATTTTTTAGGGTAAAGGAACTGTTTTGTATCCTGATTGTTGTGGTTATTACACAAATTGAACATATGTTAAAATTCATAGAACCATACACCAAAAATGGAAAAAAATGGAAAAAAATAAAATTGTATGATTTTTAAAAGTGCGTATCTCTATAAATAAAAAAAATAAATAAAAGTGCGTATCTCTGGGCTTGATTCCTAAGGATTCTAGTTTATTTGTACTATGCTAGCCCAGACCACAAGTGCCAGACTCAGATTCAAAGAAAGTTAAGAATGAGCAACCTAGACTTATTTTAGGATTGTTCACTTCAGGTCTCTACTGACCCAATTAAAAGCAATGCACAGGATATTGACAGGAATAGAGACAAAAGAGAAATGACCCCTGGTGCCTTTGTATTCCTCACAGAGACCAGAGGGATTACCCAGATGGTGGCCTTGAAGCTGGTTGAACTCACTTGGTCAGAGTGGGAGTACTGTGTCAGTACTGGATACTGGAGTGTCCACCGGCTACATTATAGGAGGACTACTCTTCCCCAGTTAAATATTTCCTGCATTCAGCTTCATATTGTGCCATTTGGTGCCGCAAACCAAGTCCTTCCCCACATGGAGCTTGACTAAGGAATCAGTAACAAGCACATCAGGACATTCCACTGCAGGGGTCCACAGATAGCAGATTCACCTGAAACAAGCAGTAATCCAAGCAGTATAATTCGTACAGAGTATATCTTCCAAGCAATATTTTGTTCTATGCTTTTAGCTGAGTGTCTATTCATGAATATTAGAAAAGAAACTGAGTAGGTGAAATGTTTCTCCTTTCCCTATCCTTGGCCCATGAAGGAACTCTGTTATATCCTAGCAAATTCTCCGCAATGAACTTTATCCCAAGTCGTCCCATATTCATGAGAGCTACTTTTAGAAGATAGATAACAGTTCTTGTCTAAAAAGATGAAAGTTTAGGCAGTATGACCCAAGTGTAGTTAATCATAAGGTTTATGCATGAAATGATTTCTAACAGGCTGATCATGCTGCACAAAAATAAAACAGGAATATACTCCCCATGAAACTTGCAAAAGAAAGCCTTTTTGGTTTATGTGTATTTTGTTCAGGTCTCTAAAAGGCTTGAAATGTGTAAGTTGTTATTTACTTGGATGGCCACTAGATGGAGTAGTTTGTTAAAGTATTTTGGTTTTATATATGCAGCAGATTTCATGAAGAGCTGTTTTCTTAGATCATTTCCTTAGTTAATTATTATTAACTTAGAAGTTTAAAATTTTAAGTGACTTTAGGGATGGTCAATGTGACAAAATCTGTTCTAGAACCCCAAACCCCTGAAATCCCACTCCGTGCCAGTGTAGTGCCCCTTACAAAAAACTATGGAAAACTCTTTCAGAAGAAACTATTGAAATGTTGATAATGAAATTTTTAGAGCAATAACAGGCAAACATAGGACATGATGCCCAAACAGGAGCTTTTTTTAATAGACTTTATAAAGATTTATTTATTTATTTTTTAGAGAGAGGGGGAGAGAGTGCGCACATGAGGGGAGGTTCGGGAAGGGTCCAGGAAGAGGAGAGAGAATCTCAGTCAGGCTCCCTGATGAGCAGAGAGCCCACTGTGGAGCTCAGTGGATCCCACAACCATGAGATCTCGACCTGAGCTGAAATCATGAGTCAGTTGCTTAACCAACTGAGCCACCCAGGCACCCCAAATAGGAGCTTTGACCACCTAAATATTTCATTATGTTAATCTAAAATCTTTAATTTTGCAGAGAAATTTTCCTATTGTAGTGAGTCTTAGTGAATTTTTTAAGATACTCTGCTGTAGCATTTTATATGGATTGCAGATAAGTGGATCAAATCCCACATCTGAGCTCAGGCCAGGTCAAAGAACAAACACCAGAAGTAAAGTTAGTAAATTCAGGGCATTATAAAGTTGGGGAACTAAGACAGATGATCAGTGCTGGTCAGAATTCACCAAAAACACACCTCTAGGTGAACACAGTTGGTTTTATTAGGTTGTTGCAATGAGGAAGAGTGCATGCGCTGGGGAATCATGGGCATCTCAGTAAGAGGGGAGAATAGTCTTCCAGGAGGTAGGTTGTGTATAGAAAATGTAAAGACCTTGGTGGAGTGGATGTGGATTTGTCAGAAAAAGGACTTAGAGGAAAAGTCAGCCCTAGTGGCTGGCATTGGTTCGTGAGCTTAGAGGGTGAGAATAATTTCTGTAGACCCTTGCATCGTAAGAACTGTGGCCTTTACTCTGAATGAGTTGGGAGCAATTTAGATTCATGCTGCTTTTTTTTTTAATGCTTTTTTTAATAGACTATTTTCAGAAGGGTAGGAAACAAGTAATAATGATTGGTTGCAAGTCTGAGTGAAAGAGATACTTGCTTTTAACTTCATTCCTCTTGCATTTTGTGTCATGTTGGGGATTACCTATGTTTTAAGATAGGTAGAATATAATTTTTACAATTTATATATAACATATTAAGACTTAGATCTTAAAACTCATGAATAATTTTATGCTTTCTTTGATAAAGTCATTGAACAAAAATGCTAAATAACAATTACTTGTAAATGCTAAGTAATACTCTTATGTCTTGTTGTTATCTACTCTAGGTACAGAAGTCAAGAAATAAACAAGTACGAGAATTATTTCCAGATGGTTTTAGTATTCATCATGCAGGAATGCTTCGGCAGGACAGAAATTTGGTTGAAAACCTGTTTTCCAATGGGCATATCAAAGTTCTAGTCTGTACAGCGACATTAGCCTGGGGTGTCAATCTTCCTGCTCATGCTGTTATTATTAAGGTAATAGCTTGCCTTACATGGGTTTGTGTGTGTCTTAAACCTGGGGATTGTTTTGTTTAGAAAAATACTGTGATTTGGCTGTTTCATTGACTTCTAATGCTATTCTTATAAGGTCAGAATTATTTTCTCCAAAAAAATCTAGTTTATATTGTGAAAATTTAACTCTATCACAGATGATGAAAGGATTAGTTAAGGTACACTTTTGAGATCTTGCCATATTTGCCTAATTTCAGTATTCAGCTCATCAGGATTATATTTGTGTGTGTTTATGTAAATTCTTATTAACTTTTCCTCATCTAGGGAACACAAATATATGCTGCAAAAAGAGGCTCCTTTGTTGACCTTGGAATTTTAGATGTCATGCAGATATTTGGTCGAGCTGGAAGACCACAATTTGACAGATTTGGGGAAGGAATCATCATAACAACTCATGACAAACTCAGCCATTACCTCACTTTGCTCACACAACAAAACCCAATTGAGAGTCAGTTTCTGGAAAGCCTTGCAGATAACCTAAATGCAGAGGTAAGATCCTGTGAATAAAAGGCTGGAATAGAATCATCAGCTGAAAGAACGGCCAAGTAAATATAAGGTTGAACTGGTTGCAGTTCTATAGTATTTAGGAAGACAGCTTGTGCCATTCCACAGTCATAAGGTACAACAGGCTGAATGGTAATATTGTTGGTTAATTCAGAACAGTATAGATGGCAGGTGATCACGGATAAGAACTCATTGCTGAAAGAGTGTACTTTTAAACTGTGAGGTTTTGTTCTAGGCCAGAAATCTAACCAAGCTATACAAACTAGAGAAACAGAAATAGCAGTAACCACTACTATATTTGTATTATACTTCTATAAAGTTTTTATAAGGTTTATAAAGCTCTTTTATGTTGGGTCATTTGATTAATCTTATTATACAGATTATAATTGCTTAAATTGAGCTACAGCACTATAATTTGTTTCATGTGTGTACATGCATTTTGTGTTAAGATTTAAATAGCAGACTCTGGAAGTCTAGGTAACATATTAACTGGTAAAGAGGATAAACATTCTTAATTTAAGAGCCTGTGTGTCAAACATTCAAATGAAGTTTCGCTGTTCTCATTACATTTTTAATTATTGCCCTGGCATTCAACACTTTCCTGTTTCTCTGTCCTTTCTTTTCTTTAAAATGGACTCAAATAATTTTTTAAAGTTGATGGGATATAAATGTTAAATAGATGAATAAATAAATGAAATGTTAAATAGACAAATGAAGAAACATTTGCAATCAAATATTACTTGTTGTGTGCAAGTCCTATATCAGCTACTTCTTAAAGAGCCTATAAAATTTCACTTACATTCTGTTCAGTATTTACAATTCTTTTTAGAGGATCCAAAGCATATTCAGTATGCAGTCTCTTCTGTTAAGGAGCAAATAGTCCAAACGGGGAGCAAAAGCTACACACAGTGTAATAATGTTGGAAAGTGATCATTTCTATAGAAGGATTCTAGAAGGAGAAAACAGTTTTGGTCACAGGCTATTAGGAAAGGCTTTATTCATGAAGGTGTCAAAACTTGATCTGGGATCAGATGATTAGAGTTTGGAAGATTTGGTTGGAAGTTAGAAGAAGTCATGAAAGATGCTGGTCTCTAGAAGCATAATTACAAGAAAATAAAAAAGATTAGGAAATAAATTTTGACTCTAAAGAAAGTGTTATTGTAGCTCAATTTCAGTCCCCATCACCTGCTATGATTTCATGGTTTAAGTAATTAGGTCTTTGGTCTTGGGTCTACAGTATCTCTGATAGAATAGTCTATTGTACAATGGTGGTAATAGGTAATTCCAAATGCCCTGCAGGGTAGGGATAATTGCCTCGGAGAGGTATGTGACTGACCCAAAGGTCCTTCAGCTACTAATTTTTGGAACTAGTATTCGAACTCAGGTATATTTAACTACATATCTAGTATTTTCATTATAGCCTAGATTTTTATTGCCTTATATAGACTGTAGTAAGTTAAAGGTGAATACATTTCTCTGTATTGATACCTACCATTTGCCTTCTAAGACCAGGACTAATTTTCCAAAATGATAGCCATAATTTCTCTGACTTATGATAAAAAGAAAGGCTCCCTTTTGTGCAGTTTTTCTAGAAAACTATATCAAGGAATACTGTCTTCATAAACTTATAATTACTATCCTGATAACTTTTTATAAATGGTAAAGTAAACCCAAGGTAGTGATGTTATTGTGTAGAAGACACAGGATAAGTGTCTTGTCCTCAAGGAAGTCTTTTTTACAGACTGTAAAACATTATCAATGAAACTATTTGGTCAAGACCTGAAAAATTAAAAAAAAAAATGTAGTCCATAGATTTACCTCATATTCATAAAGTACTTATTAGGTAAGTCATTTTCAGAAATGCCAACTAATTATAACGATAATTCCATTTAATGCCATAAAAGTCATTCAAATGATGAAATACATACCTTGAAATTTTTAGCTAATATAGTGAGGTACAGACCATTGCTAAAACTTTTTTCTCATATTTTGGTCTGCTTGGAATAGCTCCCAATTAAAGTAAATTTTCTTGTTAAGGAAACAAACCCCCTTAAATCATAGTTGAGTATGAAATTAAATTTTGTAATCTGTGGAAATCAAGTATGAAATTAGTTTATAAAATGAATGTGTGCTGTGTTCTTAAAGTAATGGAATTTTAAGTCTTTAGACTCTTTGCAAAACTATTCAGTGGCAGTGATCAACATAAAGGTCATGTTAGATTAGGAATATTGCCTTCACTAATGTCTTTTATAACATGAATATCTATCCTGCCCATTAGTTTAGAAGAACTGAAGGAAGTATTATATTAAATAATAATTTTAATACAAACATTTTATGGAACGGATTTGCTGATTGATACCTAATGGGGCTGATTCTCTAATGCTAATGCCAAAAGGTCACAAGTCCCAACCCTGTATAAAGCCACTTAATTTTGCACTGAGAGAAACACTGAAGCATGTTTGAGGCTTATTAAAATGTCTTCAGCAGACGTTACTGGATACTCTGTGTTAGCCCCCTGTAGTATATACTTCAAAATATGTTAATCTTTCTGTAACCGTACACATAATCTATATGGAATTTTTCTTGTCTCTGCACGACATAGTATAAACACCTTGTCCTTGGATTTAAGGCTTCCATAATCTGACCAACCTTCCCAATGCTGGTTCTGGTTACTCTCCAACACATGTCACCTGCCTGAGACAGGCTCTCATTCTACTCACTTCACCTATAAAGTCCCAATTTTCCCATTCATAAAATAGGGACAATCTCGCTGGATTGTTGTGAAAATTTAATAAGCGCCTGTGCCAAGCTGGCATTTAGTAAACGATTTGTATCACCATTATCTGATAGTCCCTTGATTCTCAGCCCTATTTATACTTACTGCCAGCTTGCAAATCCTAGCTGAATACATACATGAATTTTTTTTCATATATTTACTAACGGATACCCGCACACACATACTCATGATTATTTGTTTATTTCATTTTTATATGATTTTAAGCAGTTTAAGAAAACATGCACATACAAGTAAGCAATTAAGATAACCTTAAAGACTAAAGTTGAAGTAGGTAAATTAGATACGATGTGATACTTTGAGTCTTCTAAAATTACCAAATTTGGGGTGGATTTTTTTTTTCTTAACAGAACGTAAAACTCTTACACTGTATATTTGATGGCACTTTTATAAGTTTCACATGTTAGGTGTTTTTAATTAAAATCATTTTTGAATATGTATTATATACTAGGCACTGTGGATGGTGGTTTCATGAGTGTCATCTTAATTAGTTACATGTGTCTCACCAGCATTACTAGACAACTTCTTGAGACCAGGGATCACGCTCTAATTATTTCTATATCCATTGTGCTTTACATAATACCGACTAGTTACTAACTTACTATGTGATTATTAAGATGAATGGAGATATTGCAAAGAGATTTGAAAAATACTCGTTTCTATTATAAAAGGCTCCTGTGTCACCACTAGGTGACAGCAGATATTGACAAGTAAATTTTTGTCTTTGTCACTAGGGGGCAGTCAAAGATTAATCTAGAAATATGATGTACCATCATGAATTTACATCCATTTTTCAGGGTAGTCAGTTAGTCTGTTTCTTTTGGTGAACATTTAGAAGACTCGAATGACTTGATCCACTCTCTGATACCTCCTTCCTCCTTTCCTTTATCTTATCATTAGAAGCAATAGGTATTTATTTATGTTAATTTACTGCGTCTGATTTTGAAAATAATAGCAAACTATTTTATCCTTTGTAAAATTTTCTACTCTTAGGGCTCATGTGATAGGATTTTAAAATACCGGTAGGTCAGTAGAGAATCCACGCAGTTTTCACTGTCAAATAATAGAATCACAGATGGGAGACACTATCAGATTTTTAGCTATTATCATTAAACTAGTTTCCTTTACCTCAAGAAGCTGGAAAATGTTTTAACTGTCTCATTTTTAAATATTTGGGGAGTGTGAAACAACTCCCTTATTAGTTATATTTTAGTATTGTTATTCTTCATTTTGTAGAAAGTTTTACAGTTCACATTTTAGGAAATGTATGTATTTACCTTTATTGTGGATGACTTAGTCATTTGTAAGTACATTAGTATAAATTTATGAATTTATGTAATTGTGGAAATCTAATTGACATATGACACTGTGTAAGTTTAATGTTCACAGTGCGATGGTTTGATATGTGTATATAGTTATATACCTAACAATAAAGTTAGTAAACATATTCACTTCACAGTAACCATTTTGTTGTTTTCATGAGAACTTAAAGCTCTACTCCCATAGCAACTTTCAAGTATACAATACAGTATTAAGTATAGTTACCATGCTGTACGTTAGATACCTGCAACTTACTCATCTTATAACTGAAAGTTTATACCTTTGACCAACATCTCCCTAGTTCCTCCACCCGTCATTTCCTGACAACCGCCTTTTTACTCTGTTTCTATGAGTTCGATGTTTTCAGAATCCATGTGTAAGTGAGACCGTGTAGTATTTGTCTTTCTCTGACTTAAGTTCGTGTAAATTTAAAGTGAATAGTCAGAATCTGCCTTATCATTTTTTACTTTGGTGATTTCTCTTTTTTAATAACTAGTAGTATGATGTAACAGCATGATATTTTATATTGCAAGATCTCTTCTTCAACTAACTAAATATAGCTAAGCATCCACATTTATTTCACAAAATTAAACAGAATTCAAAATTATAGGATAAAACAAACATAAAAGTTTTATTTTCTTTAATATTCAGTGCTAAAATGAGAGAGTTTATTCTTCCTTTCTTTCTCCTAATCTGTAATGATTTAGTTAGAAAGCATCTCTCCTCCTGTGATTAAAGTATTAAGAAATTTAATTTTTTTCAGCCAGATGTTCAGGAAAAATTATACAACTATGAAGTTTCACAACTTGCATGAATTTTTAAATTAAGGAACACTAAATAAATGATTACCTATAGATCTAGTAGCTAAGGAAATGTATTTTTAAGGAAACTTTTCATTGTAATTTTGTTTTAATATCATTTTCTAATAATTCCTTTCTCTTTATTACACAAATTTTATATGTTGTTATTGTATTTTTAAATTATTAACCTTTCAATGCTATATAGAATGAAACTCTAGGGAAAAATAATCAGATGCCGTAATATTGAGTAAATTCACTTTTGGAAGATGGCATTTCCAATGTACTGTTCTCAATTAAATGAGGCAGGAATGATTTTTAATTAATTGGAGAAGTGTCATGTCCAGTAATTATACTTACCTTCTTTTAAATAAAGTATAATGATGTATTTTAACTTTTGACAAAATGGCCTTTGATGTAATGTTTATATCCAACTTTAATGCATTAGTTTAATTTTGTTGTATTTTTGATTTGCAGATTGCTCTGGGAACAGTTACTAATGTGGAAGAAGCAGTGAAGTGGATAAGTTACACTTATCTTTATGTACGGATGAGAGCAAATCCATTAGTATATGGCATCAGTCACAAGGCTTATCAGGTAGAAAACTCATTTATAAAAAAATATCAAACCTTCTTTTTTTGGTTTTGTAATCTTTTTATGATATGAGGATAAATATTTGTTACTTCTGCCTCATCTGAATAGAATTAGGTACCTGGAAGAAAAACAAAAAGCTTTAGTCTTTTTTAGAAAATACGAAAGGAAATTAAATTTGCCTCCTATAATTATTTCACTCTATTTATATCTCTTTTTCCACGGATACTAAAAAGTTAATCTTTATATTGTTATCAATTTATTATTCAGATACATTTCCGTTTGATATTAATATTTTGCTGTTATTTTTATTTTTTTAAGATTTTATTTATCTATTAGAGAGAGAGAGCATGAGCAGGGGGGAGGGGCAGAGTGAGAGGGAGAAGCAGGCTCCCCACAGAGCAGGGAGCCCGATGGAGGGCTCCATCCCAGGACCCTGAGATCATGACCTGAGCCGAAGGCAGACGCTTAACCACCTGAGCCACTCAGGTGCCCTTTGCTGTGATTTTTAAAAAACTATAATAAATTAAGGTTTTAGAGTAAACCAGACAGACATGAGGAAAATTATAGATCACTTTTAATAATAGGCTTATGTTTGGGGCGCCTGGGTGGCTCAGTTGTTAAGCGTCTGCCTTCGGCTCAGGTCATGATCTCAGGGTCCTGGGATCGAGCTCCACATGGGGCTCCCTGCTCGGCAGGAAGCCTGCTTCTCCCTCTCCCACTCCCCCTGCTTGTGTTCCCTCTCTCACTGTGTCTCTCTCTGTCAAATAAATAAAATATTGAAAAAAAATAGGCTTATGTTTTATTAAGTATGTTCCTCTTACCAAGTCCCTTCTAAGCCCGTATTCCTAAATTAAAAGATAGTGTTAATGAGTAATTAGCAGTTTGGAGGCTTGGATCAGTTCCACGGAGCACGGTGACAAAATCGAATGTATATTGTAGCACTTCCTCCTGTGAACTTTACAGTTGTGTGGGGTCCACATGGCTTACAAATTCTGTGAGATCTTGGCTTTTCTTAGAATTCTGTTTTATACAATGTAAATGCTTCCTAATTACAGATAAAATCAGTTGTCTAATGAGAACATTATTTCACCATCATCATATGGATATTCACTAGCGTTAAGTCAAAAGTAGCAAAGTTGAATTGAACTCAGAATTAGTTTTCCTCCAGTTACTGTCAACTCAGCTTTTGTAAATATTCCATTGTGTTATCAAAGGGGTTGCCAGTCTTTTTTGTCATTTTTCTTTTTCCTGTGCTATGTGCTATAGATTTGACCATGGGAAAATTGAAACTTAAAGGCTTAGGAGGGGAAAAAAAAAAAAGATCTTGTTACAAATATTGGCTTGTGAAAATAGTCAATGGCACTATGAAAATATTCTGAAAGGGTAGAGGAAGGCAAAGCACAACACATAGTTTTATGGGCTAAGCCATTGCAAATCTTGGGGCAAAATAAATATATCAATTGATTTTTTAAGTACTAGGTTAATATCAGAAGTCATTTTTGTATAATTTTCTAGTATAAAGAAAGTGATTTTTTTTCCTTCTGAGATACATAGTTTTACTCTCTTCACAGTTCAGAGACTCATCTTTTTAATTTTCTTTTTACTTACATGTTTATATTTTATTACTCAGTAAGAATGTGTAGCCACAAAACTCATGTGATCTAACACAAATCATGTTGTCCAACATATTTTTAATGGTTCAGAACGTGTAATGAATAAAATAGTTTTGTAAGATGAACTTGATACATACAGTATATCATTTATAGCAAATATTTAAGACTTTTGTATTTGCTAATGGCTTTTGATTCCATCTTCCCTACATTTGACTTTCCTTGCCTCATTTTTCTGATTTTTAAATTTACTTTAGCTATATTTGGTGTATGAATAAGCTACCATCAAAATGTAAGTTAGAAGGAATAGTAGGAGTATTAATTCATTAATTGATTTCTAAAGAATTTTTATACTCCCCTCCCTTCCCTTTAAAGGTCATATTTATTGCTCCTGCCTAGAGCGTGACCTTCAGGACTTGGTGTGTGTGCCTGGATATATGTATACATACATATATACATTTATACACATACACACACATCACAATATTTAAGAATATTTGTTAATATCTTGTGTTAAATGTCCTTTCTGTTTAGAAAGAGGCTATTAAATAGTAATTTCAAAACTATTCAGAAATTTCTTGTCAACTTCGTCTTACTCTTTGCTTCTATTATTATTATGGGCAAAATGGGTTTTTACATCAGCAGTTATGTAAACTATTAGAACATCAAAGTCATACTCTTGCAAGAATAATTATGCATTTATTTCTTTATATCTTTAACAGAGAAAATCTTCCTCACTGCGAGTTCTCCAAATAACTGATGAAGTAGGAATACAGCTTGATATTTTAGAGTCCCTATTTATTTTAGTGTGGGAGGGAAAAGACAGATTGTTTTACTAATATCTGATTGCCAATCTTTATATTCTTAAAGATTATAAGACCATATAAGAATTTTAGATTCTAAAATATTACTACCTAAAGATAACATAATAAAGATCAATAATCTTAATGAATTTTTAAGTCTTACTTTATTTAATGGATTAAAATATTTTCTGGTTATGTCCTGAATTTATAAAAATGTACTTCTTTAAAAACTGTAATAAAAAAATTTTATTCTAACTAACGTATCAACAAAAAATTTTAATTTCCATAAATAGGTATATGTTTGTAAATGATGACTCTCTAAAGAAATATTCAAGTGTTTATATATATATTTTTCCCTACAGATTGACCCAACATTAGCAAAGCATCGAGAACAGTTGGTCATTGAAGTTGGTCGAAAACTAGACAAAGCTCGGATGATTCGTTTTGAAGAGCGAACTGGGTATTTTTCCTCAACTGATTTGGGTAGAACCGCCAGCCACTACTATATTAAATACAACACCATTGAGGTATTATACTGAGTGTAACAAATACAATAATGTGTTTGTTCTTAGATGTAAATACTTTCTAGACTTCAGAATATAGTATTAATGGAAAATAATAAAAGCAACTAATAAAACAAAGTGCATTTAACTTACATGAATTCAATAACATGCTGAATAAACACAAGAGAAAAATAAGACTTTAAATAATAAGGACCCTTTGCCATCCGTTCAGTGAGTATATCCTAAGCAGTAGGCACACCCAAGCCTAAAATATTGAGCATGTGCAGGAGACCTATGGAATGAACACTTGAATGAGTTTAAGCAGGAGGTGATGGCTTAATGATATCAGTGAATAAAAGTTGAAAAATTAATTGCAGATTATTGAGAAACACTGGCTAAAGAAGAGTTTGAAAAACTACTGCAATTATCAGGTCAACCAAGCTGTACTATTTGGGCAATTTAAGAGGTTTCAAGGATAGGGGCACCTGGGCGGCTCAGTTGTTAAGCGTCTGCCTTTGGCTCGGGTCATGATCCCAGGGTCCTGGGATCGAGCCCCGCATCGGGCTCCCTGCTCGGCGGGAAGCCTGCTTCTCCCTCTCCCACTCCCCCTGTTTGTGTTCCCTCTCTCGCTGTGTCTCTCTCTGTCAAATAAATAAATAAAATCTTTAAAAAAAAAAAAAAAGGTTTCAAGGATAATTTAGACTACAGGGTAGCCTTGCTTATTGCCTTTTAATGTAATCTTGGGTAAGATAGGATGCCAGTATAATATTTACATTTTAAGGAGTATATGCATGTCTTTATGTGTGTTTACATGCACGTATATGTACCTACATATGTTAATATATGGGAAAACATAACAGGGATTACCTGTGAGGAGAGTCTTAAATTCAAAGACCAAGATGGGTTAAAGCACATTTTTACTCTCCTTTTTATAGAGAAAGAGTTCGAATTTTTTTTTTTCTTATATTCATTTTTGGGGTACCTAAATATGTTTTTAAAATGAAAAAGTAACAGAAATCACTAACGTGAAATTTCTTTAGAAATATGAAAACCTAAGCCAATATGAAATCTAAGTTTTGTACTTATTTAAATAACACATGCTTATACATTTAACAGGTTTCAGAAAACACCTTTGTGTGCATACTAGCTTTTCCTCATCTTTGCCAAAATAAATCTTGCATTTGTATAGCACTTTAGGTTTCTTCTTTTAACATGTATCATCTCACAACTGTGATCTGGTCTTCCTCAATCCAAAACATTGCCCCTACCTCTCTACTGCTTCTATCACCTGCTCACATGCTCACTTGCACTCCTTTTGTCCACTAAGTAACCTTCCTCATTTTCTCACTGGGTAGTATGTTACTGCCAAACTCTATCTTAGGCCTGTTTGCAGCTCTTTCAAGAACTGTAGCCTTTCTTCAGCTTTGTCTTTATTCTGTGTGGTCTTTCACTGATTTTTTTTTTCTTCCCAGTTTCCTGAATTTGTATATGCCCTCACTAGTAATATTATGAGGCCTTCACCAGAATTTTCAGGTTGCATAATTTTAGTTATTCCTCTCTGAATTTTATATGATACATGTTCAGCTTAAAGTTGGTGAATGGTACAGATTTCCATATGCCCATGCTGAAAATGAGCCAAGACCAGACTCTTATGCTGAACATTTTTTTTAGATATCTATTGTAGGTTTTAATAACTGATTTTGTTGATCTTTTTGCTTCTAAAGGTCTTCTCCAGCTAATTATGTTTTAGGAAATTTTTCAGTCTTTGCTAAATTTGATGATGTTTAAAGCAATGATCAAGAATAGGATACCACAGACATAATAACTCTGCATTGTCTAGGCTTCAAATATTCCTTAAGAATGTATGATTTTATAGTCACTTTTTAATTGAAACCATTTTACTGGATCTTCTATTTTAATCAAATATAACACTTACTTTGGTAGACCTTCAATGAATTCTTTGATGCTCACAAAACAGAAAGTGATATTTTTGCTATAGTCTCCAAAGCTGAAGAATTTGATCAAATCAAGGTAAGATTATTTGAAGCTTGAATCAAATGCATTTGGCTTATATACAGTCATTCATTTATAAAAGCTTATAATTAATTGTTATTCCTGTTACAGTATAAGCTGTGTGGCACTTCGCATTTAGAGTACCAGCAATGTTCTTCCATTTATCAACAGTGTCCACTATCCTAGATTATGCTATTATGTCATTCCTGACATTATTCTTTGCTCTCTACTGCAAATCAAATATAATTTAAGTAGGTTTGCAGTAATGAAACTAGCAGAGAATATAGTATGTAGATTTTGGGTTATTTGCAATATAATGTTCACTGAAGAAAATATAAAGGACATGCATGATTCAAACTTAGATATGAGTATTTCTGTACCCGTATTATAATTTAATCTTATTAACAGTGAAAACTTTAATACTGTGAATCATAGTACTTCACAGCTTTAAGCTATGAATGTGTTATACCATATAAAAATATATGACTGTAATGAATGCATTTGAAGATAATTCAAGTTTGCCCTAATCCATTTGGGCAGAGGTTTTACTCTGGTCAAATAAAATATGAAATCTCATCAACTGAAGGATGGTGAGGTCAGAAGATTTAATTTTTGTGGCATATCAAATTTTTATATGTCAATGGCAACTTTAATATTGGTGATGAATAATAAAATGTAATTGTATCAGCCTCAAGATAGTTTCTTATTGTATTTTATTAGCTACCTGTGAAAAATTACTATTATATTAATGTACAAGAGAAAAATGTTGAAAAATGAAAGCCTTAAAAAAACATGCAATGTGATTTAGTTTAAATACGAAAAATTTCAATAAATCAGCCCAAATAATCTTATAAAAACATTGATTCTTCCAGGTCAGAGAAGAGGAAATAGAGGAGCTAGATGCCTTATTAAACAATTTCTGTGAACTCGCAGCTCCTGGAGGTGTAGAGAACAGTTACGGGAAAATAAACATCCTACTTCAAACTTACATCAGCCGAGGAGAGATGGACAGTTTCTCCCTTATATCAGATTCTGCGTATGTGGCCCAGGTAAGAATATTACTCCCCTCCTGTTTTCTCTTCCTTGTTTACTTTTAGAAACTCAAGATATTAATTCATGCTATACTGTGAATGTATTGCATTGTGACATGCCACCAATTACCGTTTTATTGCAGAACTGGTTCTGTATCTTTTATGCCCTCTGTGCTGTTAGATCAGAAATGGAGGTGGGATTTGGTGGTGGATTTGGTTCTTTTAGATGTTGCTGTTGTTTTCATTTTAGAGTTTAAAGATATCAACACTTGGTTTTTCCTGAAGTTCACTTCTTTTACTTAGAAAGGGCAATAATACAAGAATATTTCAAGCAGAGTAAAAGATTGTGGAACCTTTATAACTTACCCCAAATGTTAGAAATATAAACAAAATTTTTACCATTAAATAAGGCTTAATAGCAGTGCCTCACACCATATTTTCAGTCTGATAAGTCTGTGATTAAAAAAGTAATCTTTCTTCCCTACCAATGATACTTAAAAATTGAGAACTGAAAGAAAATTATTCCCTAAATTACAGCTCATTAAATGTATTTTTTTTAAATACTGTAGTATAAAATGTGGTAGTATTTATGTTTTTATATTCAAGCCCTCGTGTGAAGTAAAGCAGGTTATTTTTTGCAGTATTTGCCTTTCAAATGAGGCTTCCCTTCTAGACATGTTTAAAAAAAATACTTTTTACTTATCAAGAATACCTTTTTCAAGAGAGAGAGGCAAACCATGAAACAGACTCTTAACTATGGAGAACAAACTGATGGTTACCAGCGGGGAAGTAGGTGAGGGGATGGGTGAAATAGGTGATGAGGGTTAAGGAGTGCACCTGTTGTGATGAGCACCAGCTGATGTATGGAAGTGTTGAATCACTAAATTGTACACATGAAACTAATATAACACTATATGTTAACTATACTGTAATTAAAAAGAAAAAGAAAAAAGAATCCCTTTTTCATCATTTTTCATTGAGTAGTGCCTCCTCTAAGTTAAAGAGAAATAAAAACTTAATCTTATTTTAAGTATAGAAACTATTCTGCTATGTATCTTATGTTGGTAATTTTGTTCAAAGACTTTATATAGAAAAAGTATGTTTGTGTTAAATAAATGAACAGCCATGAATATTCAGAAGTGCTTTGAAATAACTGTAAATGTGAAATATTTGCAAACATGAACCAAGATATATTGGCAAACAATTTGAATGAATTCAGTAATTTAATCAAAGTAACCAAGGAACCAGGTGATGATTTCATATGCTGTATAAACCAAATATGGATGTGGTGAAAAAAAATTTTGTTTGCGTATTTTGGAACCATGTATTTCCTGCCATAGAAAATTTATATATAATTTATAATCTCTAAACCCTGTGACTTCTACAGGAACCATTGTTTCTAACTTATTTTATCTGTTTTTCTGAAAAAATGATATTGTCATTTTACATTTTCTAATGATTTTATATTGAAATAGTTAATGACTTAAATAAAAGTTAAAGGGGCACCTGGGTGGCTCAGTTGGTTAAGCGACTGCCTTCGGCTCAGGTCATGATCCTGGAGTCCCGGGATCAAGTCCCGCATCGGGCTCCCTGCTCGGCAGGGAGTCTGCTTCTCCCTCTGACCCTCCTCCCTCTCATGCTCTCTGTCTCTCATTCTCTCTGTCTCAAATAAATAAATAAAATCTTTAAATAAATAAATAAATAAATAAAAGTTAAAGCTTTTCTGGGTTCTGGATGAATAATCTGGCCACATTTCTGTTTGATTCAAGATTATGAAGGTATTATCAAAGACTGACACACAAATTGCTTTACAGTATAAGACAGGATTTCTTCATGATTGGTTCCCAAAAAGTCAGTTTCAAAAAATTAAGGTTATAATCAAAGCATCCTGGTTTTTCTTAAAAAGCTATTGTGGGTCTATCATCCTTGAATGCATTAGATAAATTATTGTTGAGTTTATATTTTAAGTGTAAGCCACCAACAGTTCCACAACCCTCTCAGCTCTATAAAATAGTCATCCCTTCTGTATTTCTAAAACTTGATTCTCTCAACCCCTGAAATAAATCCTTAGCTCAAATAGTCTATGATTTTATAAAGAAGCCTCTATTTAGCTTCTCTAAACTGCGTATGTTAGAGATTTTGATCATTATTCCCCATTTATATCATTCCAGATTAAAATGCCTGCCTGTATCTCACATGGGATTTCTCCTTCCATTTCTTTTAGCTTCTAGGGAACAACTGTAGGTTCTGACATAGAAAAATAACATACTTTCAAACACAGTTGGGAAAATTAGCCTAGTATCTTCTTACAAGAGCAGCTAAGAATGATGCCGGAAGAAGACCTATTTGGTAGATATAGTAATCAAAATGTTCATGGGGCGCCTGGGTGGCTCAGTCGTTAAGCATCTGCCTTCGGCTCAGGCTGTGATCCCAGGGTCCTGGGATCGAGCCCCGCATCAGGCTCCCTGCTCTGCAGGAAGCCTGCTTCTCCCTCTCCCACTCCCCCTGCTTGTGTTCCCTGTTGCTGTGTCTCTCTCTGTCAAAAAAATAAATAAAATCTTTAAAAAAAAAATGTTCATTTTATCATTCTCTGGGCCTAATAAGAGTCATCCTATAATTTTTATTGGGTATCAGAACTGTCCTCATACTTCTAAATACCATTTTTGTTCTTAAATTTCTAATACTGTAAAAAAAGTAGTCAAATTTGTCAAGAGACAAATACATATTTTATATAAAATGGAAAACCAAAGCCCTTAACTCTTATGATCATTTTTGCCTTGTAATTTCAAGCCAGATCACCTATTTGCTACTTAAAATCTTCACTCTTTTTCATCTTTTTTATGATTTTGACCAGATTTTAACATTCTTCATTTTTAAATATAGATGTCGTTCAAGATTGTGAGGTATCTCCCAAGTTCATGACTTTAAAAACAATCTTCAGTAAAATAACCTGCAAAGTTAGTGATAGAGGGAAGGAGGCAAAACAAACGGAAACTAACTGTAGAGATGTTAAAAGGGCTTCAATCCTTGTAACTTTCTATATGTCTATTAATGAAGTTTTCCTGACCACCAAATTTAGGACCTTGGAGTTAAATTGGACTTGTTTAGACCTGGCTTTGATTAGATACTCTGACACCAACTATCTGTGTGATCTAGGTCAAATTATTAACCTCACCAAGCTCTATTATCTTCATGTATAAAATCATAATATCAAGACCAATTGAATGCAGTTGCCATAAACATTAAAGGAGATAGCATACAGATTAAATGAGATAATAAAGCAGTTAAGGTGTTGCTTGGTTTGTAGGGAACCATTAATACAGGTAGCTGAACTCATCAGGATTTCCTTTATCACCCTTCTCACACTAATTTTTCTGTCTGACTGGATCCCAAAGTCCTCTTTATTTCTCTACGTAGACTTTTAATCATTCCACTATATACCCAAGGGGATCCTCAGCTGTATCTTATATTCTAGGTGGCCTCAACAGCCTTTTAAGTCATGCATACCTTGTATCTCTTCCTCCTTCATTCCTGGTTAGGGAGCATAGGGTGGAGCCTCCTAAGAACCTGGATATGAGACTACCATCTGAGATTGAACAAGATAACATCCACTTATGAAAGATGTGATTATTCTTATATAGAAATAATAAAGATAATTACGGTTATATGAGAATAGATTTTGCCCACAATTAAAGGCTGCAACTTGGCATGCTTCTTCTAAAACTGAGTGTGAATGACAAATCTGACAAATTTAAAGTACAGTGTACCTAACCACCAACCCCCTTTTTATTCTTCAGAATGCAGCTAGAATTGTCCGTGCTCTTTTTGAAATTGCTCTGAGGAAACGTTGGCCTGCCATGACCTACAGGCTCCTGAATCTTAGTAAAGTCATTGACAAGAGGCTTTGGGGTTGGGCTAGCCCTTTGAGACAGTTTTCAGTCTTACCACCACACATTCTAACAAGATTAGAAGAAAAAAATCTTACTGTGGATAAGCTGAAAGACATGAGGAAAGATGAAATAGGTAAGAAGGGAGCAAAAATGTTTTAATGTATTGTTCTGTACAAATAAAATATTTTATTAGATATAAAAGAAAACTATTGTGTATTTTCATATTACTCAAGATAAACTTTTTTACCATTTTAAATCCAGTTGGTATCAGTATGTAAATAGCATTTGTTCTGCTTTTATCATACGATGTTAAAAAATTATTCCTACATACATTTCTATGTACCTTAACATTTTATTGGACAAACTTACAATGTATTGATTACTTAATATTTCAGATTCAGAATAGGGATGACATTATACATGAAGGGAGTCAGGCTGAAGAGAAGTAAGGGGGAGGACTACTGCTGACAAAAGGTCCAATGATGGAAAGAGAGGCTGAGATAGTTATTTCACTTGTATAGTAAGACTACTTTAAGACAGAATGGTAGAAAGTATCAATAAAAACAGAGAGAAATTGAGGATATTAACTAGAAAAATTAAGATTACTTACATTGGGGTAACATATGTAAATATTTTATCAAAATAAGGAAAACCACTTCAGTTTCAAATTCTGGTGAATATAGAACATTTTGATTTGTTCATAAGCATACTTTAAAAAATTGCATTACAAAGAACCAAGATATATAAGAAATATTGATACTATTAAATATTATCTGATACTATTAAATATTAAATAGTAAGTGGAAATATTATTTCCACTTAATTGCTTGGACTCAAGTAGGAAGATGTTTATAGTCAGTCACATCTGTTTGTGACCCCCTCCCCACCCTGGCATTCCCATACATAACTACTTCAAAATCTAATCATATATGAAAATAGGTATAAGTGGGTAAGTTTGTGCTACGTTAACCATATTTTATATTTTAGCTTTATTTTTTTCTGGAAATGAGTTTGGGTGGGTGATTTGTGTTTGATTACTAAAGCATTTCCCATCATGGTTATAGAGTTGAGAAATAGACTTTGTGTAAATTAATGGCTATTTTCACAAAATACTAAATTTTTTAATGTGTCGTGAGCTAACTAGGAGAAAAGTGGAACTGTTTATAGTAGTTTAAATACTGTCAAGTCTCAGTAATTTTGAGAGCCCTATTAATAGCTGAAGAAACCTTGATACTGGTTTTCAGAGCTATGAATTGCTAATTCAAGTTAACTATTACAAAATATTCAAACATGCCAGGTCAAGAATGTCAACTATTCTACATAGCAAATCATAAAACAAGCAATAAAACCACCTTCTCTGAAATCCCATTTACAAGTCAGATTATGTTGCTTTTTTTCTGTCTGAACACATTTCTTCTGTGTGATGTTTTCCTTACAGGTCACATGCTGCATCATGTGAATATTGGACTCAAGGTCAAACAATGTGTTCATCAGATTCCTTCTGTTACAATGGAAGCATCCATTCAGCCCATCACACGGACTGTCCTCCGAGTGACGCTTAGCATCTGTCCTGATTTTACTTGGAATGATCAGGTAAAAGTAGAAAATATCTCTATCAATGGTAAGCAAAAATGTCCGCCCTGCAGGTTCAACTATACCTCCTTACATCTGTCTTTAAGGCATATAGAAAACTCTAAAAAGAATACATATTGAAGATTCATTTAAAGCATTGTAGTAATATTTACTATCATCCTCAAGAAAAACATGCTATAATATATTAATATGGCAACCAGTGAGACCTCTTCAGAACCTTTTAGGTACCTGAAAGTTCAACATTGAACAATAGTTTAGTGGATTCACTTACATAAAGACTGTGTAATTCTGTCTTCTTTAATTTTCTCTTATCTTCATTTTTGCCAGCTCTACTTACTCTGTCATTTTATCCTACTAAAAAGTCAAGATTCTTTGTACTAAAAGAGCCCTTTTAAAATCCTAATATTTCTGGGCGCCTGGGTGGCTCAGTCGTTAAGCGTCTGCCTTCGGCTCAGGTCATGATCCCAGGGTCCTAGGACTGAGTCCCATATTGGGCTCCCTGCTCAGCAGGAAGCCTGCTTCTCCCTCTCCCGCTCCCCCTGCTTGTGTTCCTGCTCTCGCTTTCTCTCTCTCTCTGTCAAATAAATAAATAAAATCTTAAAAAAATAAAATATAAAATCCTAACATTTCTCAAGCTATCAATCTTCTCTTCTCTTTACCATTAGATGTGTAGAAAGAGCATTCTGTATTTTCTCCTGGTCATCAGTTTCTTTCCTGCTGAGACTACTTTCTCGGTGATCACCAAAACCTAACTGGTTACCATAATAAATGACTTTTTCTCAGTTATTTTCTTTACTTCTCTGAACATTCAGCACTATACATTGTCCTTCTTGCAAATGTCCTTCCTTGACACCCATCACATTTCTGTTTCTGTTTTTACCCTTTCTATTCTTCTTTCTAAATCTTAGGTGTTATGGTAACTATGTTTATAGTTAGTCACATCAATTTGTGACACCCTCCCCACCATAGTATTCCCATACATAACTATTTCAGAATCTAATCATTTATGAAAATATGTACAAGTGGTGTTGAGTTTGATAAGTTCTTTATAGAGACCTGTACCTCTGAAACAAATAATATATTACATGTAAAAAAAAAAAAAGAAGAAGATAGTAGGAAGGGAAAAATGAAGGGGGGAAAATCAGAGGGGGAGACAAACCATGAGAGACTATGGACTCTGAGAAACAAACTGAGGGTTCTGGAGGGGAGGGGGTGGGGGAATGGGTTAGCCTGGTGACAGGTATTAGAGAGGGCACATATTGAAGGGAACACTGGGTGTTATGTGCAAACAATGAATCATGGAACACTACATCAAAAACCAATGATGTATGGTGATTAACATAACATAATAAAATAAAATAAAAAAGAAAATATGTACAAGTGGTTCACCATATTTTATATTTTAGCTTCATTTTTTCATATATCATATATATGAAATCTTATATATGTATTTAATGTACACACACACACACACGAGAAGATCTACTCTGGATCCTCTTATTCTGTCAACATTTTTTAAGGTCTATCTTTGCAACAGTTACTGTACAAAGACTATAGTAGAGAGTGATTGTAGATACAAAAGCAAGTAACTCTCAATCCTTTCTTTCAAGAAGCCAGTGGAGGAAAACGAGGAAATCCGTAATTGTAGTCGCCATGCCTACTTTACATGGTTGTTGTAAGGTTCTGATTAAGTATAAGTAAATATCTTCTACACTACCTGACATTATTAGTATATCTTTAATGTGAATTAATTTTATTCATCAACATGCTTAAAAATTATCCAACCATAGTCTTAAGTCTACCACTGGTGTTAAACTGCCCTAACTGGTGATTCCTTCAGTTTTCTCATCTGCAAACATGCATAATAATAATAATTAATTTTCTCACAGAAATGCTGTGAGAGCTAAATGATATAAAATCATATTTAATATTTCTATAAACATAAAATTTTACATAAAATATAAAATTAGTTAAGCCATATACTCATATTTCATTTTATATTTAATAGAGGGTTTTGAAATGCATAAAAATTTTATTTCCTTTTTTTCACAGTTTTCTTCTATCGGTATCCATAAAAAAATCTTCCACAGTTTGATTTAATTAGTAAGATAGAGTACTTAATAGTTTGTATAGTTAACTCTATCAGAATGCTGTTGGCTGCAAGAATAGAAAACCTGACTTATTTCAAAGTGACTTAGGCAAAAAAATATATTATCTTCCACAGTAAAAGGTCCACTGATAGAATAGGCCCCAAAGGTGATTAAGTCTATTTAATGCTATCATTTAGAGCCCATCTTTTTGCTGTCCTGACACTCTTGGCTACTTTCCAGATGTTTTCTGTGCTTCCTTGTTCACATTTAACAGGAAAAGGTGAACACACCCCTACTTTATCAACCCAGAGCATGAACCATAAGACCTTTCCCTTAGTCTAATTGGGCCAGTATTGGGCATGTGCCTATCCCTTACCAAAAGCTGTTTGTTATAAGGAGGATACTGTAAACTGATTGGCTTGGGCTAATCAAAATCATCCTGAGAGATGAGTTCACCTTCTCCTGAGTCACATAAGAGAGAGATGAACACTGTACAAGACTGGGCTTTGTTAGAAAAAAAAGAGGGAGAATGAGTACACAAAATATGGCATATCTGTCTATCCAGTGGAATATTATTTGTCAGTGAAAAAGAATGAAGTACTGTTACATGATACAACATGAATGAACCTTGAAAACATGGTAAATGAAAGAAGCCAGTCACAGAAGACCACATATGATACGATTCTGTTTATATGAAATGTCCAATATAGGCAAATATTTATAGAGATAAAGTAGATTGTGGTTGTCAAGCTTGGAGGTTGGGACAATGGGGGAAGATAAGTAGTGACTTGCAGATGGGTGCAAGGTTTCTTTTTGGGGGTAATTCTAAAATTAGATTATGGAGATGGTTGTAAAAGATTTGTAGAAACCATTGAACTGTGTATACTTTAAGTGAGTAAACTTTTTTATGTAAATTATGTATCAATAAAGCTGTTAAAAAGAGAAAGAATAGGTGCTGGATTTGCAAACAATATCCCTTACTTGAGTTAAAATATACTTAGTATTAGAATATTATTTTTCTTCTAGGTCCATGGGACGGTAGGAGAACCTTGGTGGATTTGGGTAGAAGATCCTACAAATGATCATATTTATCATTCAGAGTATTTTCTAGTTCTGAAAAAACAGGTAAACATGGGTGTGTCCTTATTATGTTGCTATCATAGAAAGAAGAAAATATAAGCTAAATAATTTCTGTTTGTACCTATTTCTCTATAATTTCATAGTACCCTTAAAGCTTTATTTTTTTTAATGTTTCTTTTTGGTTTCAAAGGTAACAGGAATTGCATTTTATTGTATTCATATATTCAATGTGATCTTGGTTTGAGAAATTGAATTGTAATCTTTATCGTGGTTTAAGGCATGACTTCCAGAGGAGTGAAATATGTCAAATGGATGGGATAAATAATGTAATGGATAAATAAGATTAAATAAATAAAAATTAATAGCTTTAGATGTTACCAAAAAATACTACAGAGTATTGACTCACATTGTGAAAAGGGCATTTTTTAAAATTTTCCATGAATCCCAAAAGAAAGACTCAATTTGATGCTAGCAAATCTTTAACTGTGATGCTTCATCCATGATTCCTCTTTTTATCAAAGAGAAAGCAAGCTTTAGGCTGGGAACCCTGGGCAGACAGCAGTAGAATTTCACAGCAGTGTTTCTTTTCATAATTACCTTCTATTTATGCTAAGTTCTGTTACTCCACTTAACGTAGTAGTAAAATTTAAAGAAAAATATTAAGTAAATAATTTGGTAAAAATCATGAAGTTAAGTAATTTAATGAATGAAATTTGGGAAATTCTGATAATGAGTCAAACTGGTAAGCTGTTAGTACATGATGATATACATAAATAATATAAATTGAATATAAATTTAACTTTCTATAATATCAGGTATCCTCAGAAGGGAACCATGTATAAATTTCTGAAGTGCCTAAATATCTCAACTATTTAGAAACCCAAGATATTTTCTTATGTTTAGTACCTGTTGGTGTAGATAGCATTTTCTTAACAGTAGACGAGGAAGGCCTTTATGATATCAGAATATTCATATTCACTTGAGACTTTATTTCACATTAGGTCATTAGTAAAGAAGCTCAACTTCTGGTATTTACAATCCCTATTTTTGAGCCTTTGCCTTCCCAGTACTACATCCGAGCAGTGTCTGATAGATGGTTAGGAGCTGAGGCTGTATGTATTATCAACTTTCAACATCTGATTCTACCAGAGAGACATCCTCCCCATACAGGTAACATAATTGAATAGTAACTTGAATCATTGATATTGTTTTCATTAAGGTTGCAAGTGTTTATGCTTTAAAGTTGTCTAAATCTGAATCAGAATTGAACTCATTTAGTCAATATAGTTTGAAAAGAGACTTTCCAAAATCAAATCTATGTATACATTTGGTAGAGCTTAATGGTGGGCCTTAATTTTGTTTGAGTTCCAAAAACATTAAGCCTTGTTCAATTCCCATAGCTCTAACGAGGTGGAGACTCACTACTTCTGTATTATTATGCCTTCATCTCTATTTTTTTTAAAAGATTTTATTTATTTATTTGAGAGAGAGATTGAGAGAACGAGTGGGAGGAGGGACAAAGGGAGAAGCAGACTCCCTGCAGAGCAGGGAGCCCGATGTGGGACTCGATCCCAGGACCCTGGAATCATGACCTGAGCCAAAGGCAGACAACTTAACTGACTGAGCCACCCAGGCACCCGCCTTCATCTCTATTTTATAAACAGTCATTACAATGTCTCCATATCTCCTTCGCTTTCGATTGCAAGTATTATTTGTCATTTAATCTGTGCTCTTTGGGAAACTTTTGAGGTATCCTTTTTGTTTGCATTTATTGCTAATAAACTTATTTCTAGTGTGTTAAATGAATTAAAGTGAATTGTAGGTTCTTTTTCTTCCATATAGTATGCTTCTACACCAAAAGAAAAAAAAGCTAATATTAAGGAGTCAGGTTATGGTATCACTGCAGAATGGATTCACTATACCTCAAGCCATTCATCCTACAAACAAGATGTACCCTTTTTTTTTTTTTTAAAGATTTTATTTATTTATTCATGAGAGACAGAGAGACACAGAGAGAGGCAGAGGGAGAAGCAGGCTCCCAAGGAGCAGGGAGCCCAATGCGGGACTCAATCCTAGGACCCTGGGATCATGACCTGAGCCGAAGGCAGAGGCTTAACCATCTGAGCCACCCAGGTGCCCAAGATGTACCCTTTATATTAGTTCTCTTCCCCCACACTAATGTGATAAAAGGGAATATGGTAATCTGCAATATCATGTAACAGTTTTTCATTGTCAAAACTAACAAAAATCCATTTTAGATTTTTGTAACATGAGGAATTATCTTTATATTTTGATTTATTAAAGAAGGAGAATTTCATGAATAAATGTTTGTATTGGTACTTTTAAGTGCCCTATATTCTATTTTAAAAATATCTTTAGATTAAGCTATTAATTTAGTGTATTAAGTGTATTTCTTGTTGAGAATTCATAATTGATGATTAATGATTTCAAGAGGCCCTTAATTTAGAGAAAAATAAAGGTCATTTTTTTCATATAATTCCTCTGAAGACAAACTGTTTTCAAAATAAAAATATTATTCCTTATCACTTTTAATGAATACATTTTTTAACAGTCCTTTGGGAAATGAAAGCAGGCATTAATGTGATTTTAATCTTTGCCATTTTTTGTCAAATGTGTACCTTGTTTATTACCTTAGCATATCTTAAAGAGAAATACTTTAGACTACTGCTTAAAACCACTTTGATATCTTGACAGAACTAAAAAAGTTTGTCAACATAGAGAAATAGTAAGATTGCAGTGTCTACTGATAATACTCATTGAAGAGGACCTTTCTGTTTTTCTTCCATCAAATATGCCTATATACGAAATCTAGACTCTCAAAATACGTAAAAATGTTTGATGCTTTAATTTTAAAATATATGCTACCATCATCACTACTAGATCTCTTTGAGTGCAGTACTTGATTTTAACATGCATTAACATTGTGTTTTAATGCTCATTTAATCACTTCTCTGTTGAGTGGCCAAGCACATATCACCCTATTTATAGAATTAGTTGACTTCTGACTACACTTTAAAAAGCAGTAAATGCACCACTGTGACATCTCAGTTGATATTAGAAATGCATGATACAACCTCAGTGATTCCAGTTCTATTTGGCTGAGTGTGGGTAAGGGTGTGTGTTTATGTGGGTGTGTGTAGGCACCCTGTTGAGCCTGAGTCAAACAAGAAAATTCTTCACATTTCACAGAAGTGAATCATCGTAATTTAATATTGTCAGCATATACCAAAATGTTTATTTTTTAGTTCCTATTAAGAATATGTGTATGCGGGCGCCTGGGTGGCTCAGTTGGTTAAGCGACTGCCTTTGGCTCAGGTCATGATCCTGGAGTCCCTGGATCGCGTCCCGCATCTGGCTCCCTGCTCAGCAACCTCTGATCCTCCCCCCTCTCATGTGCTCTCTCTCTCTCATTCTCTCTGTCTCAAATAAATAAAATCTTTAAAAAAAAAAAAAAAGAATATGTGTATGCTTTGATTAGCATTGCATGTTAAGACTTCCTCCCCTCTTGATTTTCAGTGCTTCAGAAAATTTAGGAGATTATAATCTGCTATAGAAAATTTATGCAGTCAGCTCTCAATTACCTATGTAATAGAGTAGAGCTGTGGGGCTAAGATAGTATTTTAAAAATACCTTTTTATCTTTAAGTACAATTTTTGAGAATTCTCTACACTTTCCATCTTAAAACTGTACTATGAAGATCTCACACAGATATAGACCACCATGTCCCCTTACAGATTTTTTTTTTCTTCCTTATTCTAACTTCAGATGGGTAGAATTATCCTCCATGAAAGAATCCTGAGAGTAAAGTTAGTTGCCTTCCAGTTTTCTAACTGATACTTTTCTGGGTTATGGGAAAATACAGTGTCTGTCAAGTTCAGGAGTATATAACTTCATTTCTCTAAATAATTTTAACTGTCTAATCTCCTAGACCTCTAGTTTATATAATGAGATACAACTAAATTTGTTTCTTTCAATGTTTTCTCAGTGCAGTTCTTTTTTACCCATACATTCTCTGATTTGAAACTCCACCTAAGTTTCTTCCTGTAATTATTTTAAGTTTATTTTAGTTTATATTGACTAAACCAATAGCTCCCTCAACCATTCTGATTTGGTCAGTTTTCTAACAGATCAAAGGAAATTTATTATTGATAACCATTGTAGTTCTGCAGTCTACAGATGGTTTTCCTTTTTCTACAGATTGGGGTAGATTTAATTTTCTTCTGCACCACGCATATTTTCATATACCAGTCATTCAAATTATTTTCCTGATTGGAAAAGAGCCATGTAGTGGTTTTAGAGTTGGTATATGGGGAACTCTCCCAGAAAAGTGTCCCAATATGTCAATATTACAAATATGTGACAGGGAGAAAAAAGGAGCTGTAACTAGTATATAAAAATTTATGTTAACCCTCTTTCCCCCCCTCCAATGAATTAAGGATTGTTATAATTTATTCCTGAGAGACAGTGTTTAGTATTGTGCATTTTTTACAGTTATGGCAGTACCTGTTTCATCTTTTCAGAATTACTGGATCTTCAGCCTTTACCAATCACAGCTTTGGGATGTGAAGCATATGAAGCATTGTACAACTTTAGCCACTTTAACCCTGTGCAGACACAAATATTTCATACACTGTATCACACAGACTGTAATGTCCTACTTGGAGCACCTACTGGATCAGGAAAGACTGTTGCTGCCGAATTAGCCATTTTCAGAGTCTTCAACAAGTACCCTACGTCAAAGGTCTGTTTGAAGGAATCATATGCTTACATTAAATTAGAAAACACAGTTCATAATCTGTAAACTAGCCAGTTCTAAACACACAGCAGGACTCAATGAGTAGATTTGTCACTCTCTTAGTGAATTTTCTGGTGGGACCAGATCAGTATTAGAATAACTGGCCAGAGGAAACAACAGATGTTGGAGAGGATGTGGAGAAAGGGAAACCCTCTTACAATGTTGGTGGGAATGCAAGCTGGTGCAGCCACTCTGGAAAACAGTATGGAGGTTCCTCAAGAAGTTAAAAATAGAGCTACCCTATGACCCAGCAATTGCAGTACTGGGTATTTACCCCAAAGATTCAGATGTAGTGAAAAGAAGGGGCACATGCACCCCAATGTTCATAGCAAGCAATGTCCACAATAGCCAAACTGTGGAAGGAGCCGAGATGCCCTTCAACAGACGAATGGATAAAGAAGATGTGGTCCATATATACAATGGACTATTATTCAGCCATCAGAAAGGATGAATACCCACTATTTGCATCGACATGAATGGAACTGGAGGGGATTATGCTAAGTGAAATAACTCAAGCAGAGAAAGACAATTATCATATGGCTTCACTTATATGTGTTAACATAAGGAATAGCATAGAGGACATTAGGAAAAGGAAGAGAAAAATGAAAGGGGAGAAATCTGAGGGGGAGATGAACCATGAGAGACTGTGGACTCCAGGAAACAAACTGAGGGTTTTAGAGGGGAGGGAGGTGGGGGACTAGGTTAGCCTGGTGTTGGGTATTAGGAGGGCACGTATTGCAAGGAGCACTGGGTGTTATATTCAAACAATGAATCATGGAACACTACATCAAAAACTAATGAAGTACTGTATAGTGACTAACATAACATAATAAAAATTAATTAATTAATTAAAATAAAATTTTGGTACATATCCTTCCAAAAACAACCAAAGAATAACTGGCCAGAAAAAATTTTATCTTAAACTTTGGAGTCCTCTAGTTAGGTTTTTAATGTACATGTCGGTTCCCACATGTCCTTTCCTCATTGTGAGATGCATAATTCATAGCCATATTTATAAGATAATGACTTGTAATCAAATCTTTTTGCTATAAAAGAAATGCTAATACTTTAACAAATACAGTTTGATTATACACATGAAATACAGAGGCAGTTTTTGTTCCACATTTCTGCAAATGGCCATATTATTGATGGAAAATAACATGGTGAGTCAAATAAGTATTGATTTTATGCTTTCTTGAAATGTGAAGTACATACTCATAGTTTAGAAGTATTATTTTTCAAGAAAGCTAATTCATACACTGTGATTGGAATTATATGGTATTTTCCTTATCATTTATTATTTTAAAAATGTTTTAACTTCTTTTTCAGTGATTTTCAATTAGTGGCTTTTCTTCCCTGCTTAACTTGAAGTTTTCCTACTTCTCAGTCTATTTTGTGGTTATTGATCCATTATAAGACATGTTAATACAACAGTAGAGCTCTACTCTAAATTTGAAACATTTTATAAAGCAAAGAATTTTTTTTTCACTAAACAATCTGTATATAAGTTTGGATTATTAAAGACCAATTGTTGTTGTTATAAAAAAAGGTAGAATACCTAAAATGTGTGACTGTCATCTTCCATAAAATCTGCAATAAATTTAAACAACCATATTTATCTCTCTTTAGAATTTCAAAAGTAGTAACTTTTTTCATGGAAGAGTTAAATTCAGATAATTCTTGATCATAATACCAGGAAAAACTTTCATTTTCATCAGAATATAAAATACGTAAAGGAAATACCTTCAGTATTTTTTTTAATATTTAAAATTTTCTATGTCAAGATTTTTATGATGTATTATATTTCTATCCTACTTTGGATAAAGGTAGTTTGGGCAAATTAATGACTTTTCCCATTAATTTAAAATTTAAAAATAAAAGATACATTTTTAAACCACACTGTCATAGATGTAGATGGAGTTTGCCTTTATTTGAAAATGATGTCACTATTTTCATGAGATCTTTTTACCCTCCCCTCCCCTTTCAGGCAGTATATATTGCACCCTTGAAAGCCCTGGTACGTGAAAGAATGGATGATTGGAAAGTTAGAATAGAAGAAAAACTTGGCAAAAAGTAAGTTCTTGCTTTTTCAGAAGATATGCTTTGAATAATCTAAAAGGACCAACAAATAAAAGATTTGCATAAACCTGTTGAATGCTTTTACAGTGATTTTCTTAGTCTTTTATTTAAAGGTATTGTACTTAGTGTTAAAATGTTATCAAATTCCCATTGTTTTAATATTGAAAAATGCAAGTCCTTAAATTATTTAATATGAATACTTTTGGGAAGATAATTTTCTCAAAATTTTTAAATTCTAAAACAAAAGAAAAGTAAGTTTTATCTCTTAATTTTTCTTTCATACCATTCAGAGTAACTCCCAGTACATGTTTTGCATGTAAACAATTTACAGAAAAATAGAAATCCATTTAAAGAACCTGACTTTTAAAAAGGTATTTTAGTATTGCCCAAGGTTATTTATTCATTGTTTTTAATAGCAAGATTGCTGGTAACCTGAGTGCCCAATAGAACATGACTAAATAAATTATGGTACATTTACACAAGCAAAATATTCTGTCATTCTATAAAGAATGAACTTTGTATATACTGAAGGAATGATCTCCAGAGATACTATAGAAAATGGTTTTAAGTAAAGCATCCTATCATTTATTTTTTTTTAAATGGCAAAGGATATAAATATGTGATTGCTTTAGAACAAGAACCAGGTGATTGGAAGATAGACACGTTACAGAGACTGTTCACCACACTTGAGTATAGTGCATATTCAAAATAATAAAATGTAAAAATAAAAAATGAATAAAAATAAGCAAAAGCTTTGGGAACACTATACTTGGGGGAACTAATCTTGCCTCTTTTTGTTTTTTGAGGATTAAGACAGATGGAAAAATTATTTAGGGGCTACCTGAAATTTAGAGTTGGCCTCCAGACCCTCTTCCTCTCTGTAAAACTGGGGTCTTCTTAGAATGAGGCAGCACATATGTGCCTCAGCATATGTTATTTATGTCCTATTATGTTTGAATTTGCCTATAATACCTATAGAAAAGAGAAATGAAGCTTACACATAATTATATTCTTAATGAATGCTTCTTTTTGTCTTAATAAGTTAACACTTACCCGTAATTAGAAAGGTGTTTATTCCAACCTATGGAGAAGGAAGTATGAGTTCAACTCTATAAAAACACATAGGGCAGAGACTTTGTAAGCATAATCACAGCAAAGTTTGACACCTTCGCATATCCGCATAAAAGTTAAATTATCAGTTATTTGAATTTATACATTCTCTTAAAATTCTTAAGAAACGTATTTTGGACTCACAAAAACTTTCAGAAATCAAAGGGAGATAAAGTAGGGTTAAGCATTATAAAATTTTATTTTGAAAGGTATTTTTGCCTTTCCAAGGTCATGTGTTATCTGAGAAAGGAGTCGTTTTTCTTCCTTTCCAGAGTTATTGAACTAACCGGGGATGTGACTCCCGATATGAAATCCATTGCTAAGGCTGACCTTATCGTCACCACACCAGAGAAGTGGGATGGAGTCAGTAGAAGCTGGCAGAATAGGAACTATGTGAAGCAAGTCACTATTCTCATCATCGATGAGATCCATCTGCTCGGTGGGTACCATGCTATGTGATACCAGTTTACACATTTTGACTCTGAAATGTGCAGCAGCTGGTATCAGGACCTGCTAAATGATTAACATGTATTATTCCTATTTCCTAGGGGAGGAAAGAGGCCCTGTTCTAGAAGTCATTGTATCTCGAACAAATTTCATCTCCTCGCACACAGAAAAGCCTGTGAGAATAGTTGGACTATCTACCGCGTTAGCTAATGCCAGAGACCTTGCTGACTGGCTCAATATTCATCAGGTATGTGGAAGATTGATAAATAAGCATTTAATACTGTGGCTTAGGTGGCTGTATTAAAGAGGCACCATAACATTATAAACTTAAATATAAAAACTGAAAATGATTTCTTTCTCGTTTTTACTCTAGATGGGCTTGTTCAACTTCCGACCATCAGTACGTCCGGTTCCACTGGAAGTTCACATTCAAGGCTTCCCAGGTCAACATTACTGTCCTCGTATGGCTAGTATGAATAAGCCTACATTTCAAGGTAAGCTTCAGATCCTTGGAATGAAATAGCAGCCATTTTGTGTGGTAGCCTTTAAATGCATTCCAGATAATTTGGATTTCTTTGAACGGGTGGTACTGCTCCAACTTCTACAAATGTAGGTTATGCCGCAGCTGTTAAGGCATAAAAATGTATGCTGAATTAACTATTGAAAATTGGAGAGATTTCATAGATGATACTGTCTTGGAAGTAGAGAAAAAAATGTATTTTTTAAAAGTAATTAAATCATTCTTAATCTATTAAGTTATTTTCTTATGGTAGTAGCTTGAACAAATGATAAATAGGAGCTCTAAGTGTAAAAAATATCTCATAATCTTAATCTTTACCAGAAACCATAAAACTTACAAATTTCAGTACTTTTTTTTTTTTTTACAATGCTTCTGTTTTTGTGTTTTTATTTTTTGGTTTTCCCTTTCTAACAAATTAGGCAAGCAAGAAAGATTTAAGAATAACACTCCTATTTTATTGAAACATGTTTTGTTGAGGCTGCATAAGGAATATTTATCATATCAATTAAAAATAACCTCCAAAATAAATTCTCTAATGTGAACTGCTGTTGATTGTGAGGTGACTTTTTAGCTGCTGTAATTAGCCTTATGACAGAAGCAAAGTATTGATTGTGAACTAGAGACCAGTCTTGGCAGTTCGGATTATTTACACCTCCACAGAAGCATTGTATAAAATCACTAATGAACAATAAATCTGCCGTGAGCTGTTCAGCCACACCTGTTCTCGCAGCAGCAAAAATCCATTAAATGTTGAGGTTTAAAAAAGAGACAGATTCATTCATGATTATGTGTACAAAAGATATCAATATTGTACTAATACGTGTATTTTAAACATTGTATTTCTAATATGATTTATCAAAGCATTACCATTTATATTCTGTAAGATTCGGATAAACTGTGAGTGAGAAATAGCATAAATGAGTTTATTTTTCATGGTATGTATTGTTGTGATTGCTTATATTTATTTAAGGAATGGCCAATTGCATACCAGTGATTGAAATGAAGCATTTTGTGTTCTATAAATCAATAGTAAATAACTGAAATACTTACACTTCTCTAGATACATCAGTACAGTAGCTGTCCTTATAAACTATTTATTATACTTGCAGTGTCTCACTATATTTCTTTGAGTTTAGAAGTATGATTTTATGATAGCTTCACTTCTCACTCTTAGGGCATAAATGTAGTCAAGGTCATATCAACATTTTTGTTACAAACCTTGTTTCTTAACCCATAAGAAGAAATTCTGCAGCTCACATTTCAAACAAGAAATTACAAGAAGGTTGAACTTTTTATATAAAACATTTAAATATCTCTGTTTTAAGAGACCTATGTACACATAAGGATAAATTTTACTTGTACCATCTTATCAGCATTTTGGAGCCAATGTGCAGTAAAGAAATCTTGTTTCCAGTTAGGTCACATGATTTATGTGGCTCTCTAGGTAATTTTTTCTGTCAGTCTTATTACTCAGGTTTCAAACCATTCATTTCCTCTTCTGTGTGTCTACTTTCCATGTGCCATCAGTCACATACAGATTCAGGCATGGTATTCTCTTCAGCTCTCTTCCACATTCTCTTATCTTTACTCTTGAAACCTTACACGTGTTTCAGGAAAACAGAAGACCTTCGTTTGACATATCTCTGACTAGTTTATTGATACAAACTCTCAATTATTCCATCGACTGGTACTGACAACAATAAAAGGAATTTTTTTGTGGCTTTTATTCTTAACAGAGTTTTCTTCAGTCTGCAGGACTTGACTCTCTCCCCGAGACTCCGGGACCAATTAAGTCTGTAATATCATAGCTTAGGCGAGCAGAAACACAACTCTGAAAACTGAACCTTAGATTGAGTATTCGTTTACAGCTGTTGCTAGAGGGTCGCAGCTTTTATAAGTGTCACCTTCCTCAGGAGCTCAGAATAGAACTGAGACCTGACACAGTTAAATTTCCCCTGCCCAGGCAATGTACTCCCCAAGGTGGGTTCAGCTACCTTTCCTTTCCTACCATTTCTCTAATATGCTGTTGGGTCCAAGTCATACCACAAACAATGCTGAATTTCATGACCAAATTAAGAATTCACTTAAATCAATTACATTAAGTTTCATGCATCCATTTGATATCCTAATGACATGCAGATTCTGGTGTAAGTAGCTTACCCTTTTATTTTCCACAACTTTTCAATAGCAATTAGAAGCCATTCTCCAGCCAAACCTGTTTTGATATTTGTCTCATCAAGACGTCAAACTCGTCTTACTGCTTTGGAATTGATAGCCTTTCTGGCTACTGAAGAAGATCCAAAGCAGTGGTTGAATATGGATGAAAGAGAGGTAAGCAATCTATTTTATTTCTATTTCTTATACATGTCAAATTAGTTTGTATTTAATATAATGGAAATTACATATTTAATGATGTTTAGTTTTAATCTATACAAAATTTAGTATAACGTTACAGAAATTTAGGGAAAAAGTAGGAAATGCATAATACTGCCACCTTAACACTATTAATATTTTGATGTATTTTCTTCTACTGTGTTTCTGGTAAATATTTACTTTTATATCCATATTTATTTCTGTATCTCTTCCCTTTAACATCATCACCTATGTATATTATAATCATATTTGTTTTTCTATTGGAGTGTTCACTGCCCTCATGGAACTTAGAATCAATTTTGCAAAATTAACTTTCTATAGAATATATAATAAATGACCATTTTCAAAAATTTAGAAAACACTAAATGTAAAAATTAAAAATCTGTTTTTTTATTTTTAATATTTTTATTAACCTATCCTTTAACCAAGTAGTAACCATCATTAAAATTGGAAGCAACTATAATTTTTTTTGTCTATGCAATTATAGTCTATTATGTGGCTATCCCATTAAATAAATAACCATACATCCTTATTATTATAGGTTTTTCTTTATTTAGACTTATTTCCTCAGTATAAATTTAAAATTAATGGGTCAAATAATATGGATTTTTTATAGCTTTTCATATACACTGCTAATTATTTTCCAAAAGGGTTGTACCAGTTGATGTTCTCCCACTGATACATGTATTGTCAGCAGTATATGAGAATAAAATAACAATTTTACTACACCCTCATTTGTTGTAATTTATCGATATATTACAAGTAAAATATTCCTTATTATTTTAATGTACATCTTGATTTTTGTGTGATTGAACTTTTTTTCATATATTTGTTTACTATTGGTTGTCTTTTTTTCTTTTTTTGTCTGTTCATTCCTTTGGACTTTTATCTTTTTCAGCACAGCATTTTTCTTATAGATTTGTGTGAGAGCCCTGGCAAATTAAAATACACATACACCCCTGAAATTTCATATATCACTTTTTTCCATAAATATTTATTACTATATACATATACACACATACTAATCTCTTGTCTGCTTTTATTAGTTAATTTTGCTAATTCCTTGGATGTCTTTTTGTCTTAGTAGCTTTTTACAAATAGAAGTTTTTGCATTTTGGGGTGCCTGGGTGGCACAGTCAGTTAAGCATCTGACTCTTGGTTTCAGCTCAGGTTGTGATCTCAAGATCGTGAGATCAAGTCCCACGCCAGGCTCTGCGCTCAGCTCGGAGTATACTTGAGTGTCTCTCTCCCTCTCCCTCTGCTCTCCCTCCCAACACTCTCTCTTTCTCTCTCTCTCTCTTTCTCCCTCTAAAATAAATAAATCTTTAAAAAAAAAAAGTTTTTGCATTTTGGAGCACCTAGGTGGCTCAGTCAGTTGAGTGTCTGACTCTTGATTTTGGCTCAGGTCATGATCTCAGGGCCGTGAGATGAAGCCCTGCACGCCAGGCTCCTCACTAGGCTGGGTGGCTGGGTGTGGAGCCTGCTTGAGATGCTCTCTCTCCCTCAGCCCTCCCTTCCCTGCTTGTACTCTCTCTCTCTCTCTCTCTTAAAAAAGAAAAAAAAGAAGTTTTTGCATTTTGTGTGATAGTTGATATCATTCTTTTTGATTCTTTCTACTACTTCTAAAGGTAGATAGTCCTCTTTCCCTCCATAGATTTATAGATAGTGATTTTCCTTTCTTGTACTTTTCTCGTTTTTTAGAAGTATTTTTGTCATTGGAATTATGATGAAAAAGTAGATGAAATCAGTAATAAAATTGTTGCATTGTCTCCCTTCTCTCTCCATATCTCCCCTTTCTCATCTCCTGCAGCCTGAAGAAGAAGAGTCAGAACAGTGTTTCTAACCCACTAGTGTCCAGTCTCAGCAGTTGGCATATTTTCCCTTTCCACTTCTCATGAGTCATTTAGGATTAGTGGACCAGTTGGATGATACTGTATCTATTACGTTTGTGTGTTAACTAATACTAGTTAACTAATAATTCGAAATGTTCTTGTATAGGCCTGTAGGTGACCTTATTCACTGGTAAGTAGCAGACCCCAATATTAGTTTCCTATAAAAGGTATCACATGACTCCTTTAAGTAGAGTGACTGCTATCATGTTACCTTTCAAGTTTCATCATTACTTCCTTAATGCTGTTTGTGTATACTAAATCTTTATTTAAGATCAAAATAATTCTGTCAAAAAGTTTCTTGTCCTTTTATTCACTTACTCAGCTAGTATGTTCAAAAGAGTCACCCTGTTGTGTCTAACAGTGTCTTGAACTTAGGAAGCAAATGGTGAAAAATAGATTGATGGAATATTAACAGTTTATGTGCAGCATCTGTCTAGGCTTAATATATTTTCTCTTGTGTCTTATCCTTAAAAATGTTCCAAATGGACACTTTTCTTTGAAGTCAAGGTACAAAGTACATACCTATTGAATACATTTTGAGATGTTTGTTCAAAATGCATATGTGTGTGTGTGCATGGCTGTGCATTTTGCACGTATGTGACTCATATTAACCTTAAATGTGAACCTCATGTCCTCTTCCCAGCTATAGTACACTTACTATTTTTTTTTTATTTTAATGTATGAGACCTAAGAAACTGTGGTCAGCTCAGCCATTGTGTAGAATTACTTCTCTGTTTTGTATTTTTTTTTTCCTCAGCACAAAAATTTATCACCAAGGTTCATTAGAAACCGTAGAATTTACTTAGCATGGTTTCTGCTATTTTGTAGGTTTTTCACTGCTAAAATAAGACAGCTAGAAATTATGTCATTTCCGGACATTGTGTTTCACCAAGACCATTGCAATAATAAGACAATCCAGGTTTTGTTTCAGTCTTTCCTCTAAAAGTCAACACCTTTAAAATCAAAATGTCAGAGGTTTTGCAACTGATTGCTATGCAAATTCAATCTGATTATACCAATAAAGCAGGTGTTTCAGTTGTTGAATCCACTAATTACCTTAAAATAGGACTTTTTTAACACTTTAATCTTTATGAGAGTTACTTTCCGTAATAGTATAGACTAGAAGCTTAGTGACAATTCCTATTGCTGCTTCTTGCACAGTTTCAGATTGGTGTTCTGCGGCAGGACCAGGTAGGTTAGGTGGGTGGATCAGCAAAGGCAAAAAAAAAAAAAAAAAAGTTATCCATCTATCTTCTTAATCCAGTAAATCTTCAAAGTACTAGGAAGCAGGACCACCCCTTCAAGTGTATCATTGATGTGAAATCATACTGCAGCATGGGGAAACCCCAAAAGTAATACCCTTCCATATTTCTCATCAGGAAATGATTTCAAAAGTTTGTGGGCATATGCTGCCATGTCACTTGGATTCTCAGTTTAATAACCACCGCTTCCACCATTAACCTCAAACTGTGGTTGGGTTTTTACATTACCCTCTCAACCTTCAAATCCAAGACAGAAACACCGGAATGCCTGAGCTTCACTGTCAGGCATGCAACAGGAATAGGGAGTATCTTCCCCTCTCTGACCTCTGAGGAGATACTCAGACCCTGGCTGTCTGTAGATAATCTTTCACAGTATGTTGGCTGGTTAAATCCAGTCACTCTGGTTCTTTTGCCATCCCATTTCAATATTCTCTAGCCAGTGGGCTAAAATATAAAGTTACCCACAACCAATACATTATTCATTTCAATTAGTTAAAATATATAAAATACGTTAGTTAAAATATGCTTAGAGCATATATGAGATAGCAAAGGTAGAGGTCACAGTATTTTTTTGCAACACAGGTCCAAACGTATTTGGTCGGGGAGCCAAACACATTTGTGATTTATTTTCTCTACCATCCATCACCTGCACACTTCTTCAAGCAGCCTCTAAGCTAATTAATATTCTTTATCCATTGTAGTAGCCAAAACCCACATTCCTGAGACGTTGGAATTTGGCTTTTTATATATGCTTACTATATAAGGCTTTAAAAGTTTTTGATTAGTTTTTCAAGTGGATACAATAGTGTGAGAAGATTTCTCTAGGGTCTATCCAAATTTTCCCTCCCCTTATTGTGTAGCAATAACCCAATTTCTTTATCAGGATTGGTTACCTAAACTACACTATGGCCACATTTTGCTTGTTTACCCCATACAATGAGAGATGTGGCTATTTCAGCTTCTAAGTAAATTGTTACATCCCTTGGATGTTAAGCCTCCAAACTAACACAGCTAGATTTATAGGGAAGGGAAACAAAAATTTTCCAAATGGTTTATTAGCTGTGACTGCAAAAAAACATTTGCACATATTGACTACTGTATCTTCTGGCAATGAGAGGAATAGTATCATTTAATGATTACTACTTCAGAGCATATACCTCATTTTACAAGAGAGCACCCCAACCTTGCCAAAGCAATGTCTCTTAGCTCCCACTCTGAGTCATTCTTCTATAAAGCCAGCTCTTTCTGGGTAATGAGGGATGCAATAAGACCAGTGGATCCCATGGTTCCATCGCCTTAATCTTTCTCTATAAAGCAAGTTCCTCAGTCAGAAACATTATCATACGAGATATTAGATGATGTATAAAGTGTTCAGTAATCCTACTATTGAGGCTACTGGCAGCACTCAATAGGCAGGAAAGAGAATCCAAATCCAAAGTGTCCATTGTAGACATCATCCCAAATAGACATCCCCTCTGTGATAGCAAGGATCCAGTATAATCTTCTTACTGCCAGTTAGCTCTCTGGTGCCCTGGGCAAGGTACTTTATAATGGGCCTAGGGATGTTTGCACTGGTGGCATAATAGCTGGGTCTGCCTGAGGAAATGGAAGTCCATGCTTAGCCTGTGCATAGTTTTCATCTCTTCCACCATGGCACCACTTAGTACATGAACCCCACTGCACAAAACACTGGAATCTGGGAGGGAGACTGCCTGGTATCCTTAGAAGTGGTCATTTTGCCCACTTGACTGTTAACAGCATTGTCCACACTGCTGTTAACTTTTTGGTAAACATCTTAATGGGA